TAGAGGGAATGCTCAGCCTCATGGTGTGGAGGGCTGCCCACTCGTAGTGGGGTAGGAGAAGAAAACAGCAGCCAGTTCTTACTGTCATCAACTCCTTTCTCTTCCTCACTTCACAACAAACAAAAAGGTGTGCCCTGTGCTTGAGAGGATTGGGTGCTGCTTGTCGTTGCTTTGGCCTTCTGCTGTGCTAGTTCCTTCAGATCTGCCGCTGTAGCTGTTCCTGTATTCATGTCCATCCAAGCATGCTGGGGTAACATGAGTACCTCTACTTACCGTTTGTCAGATGATATCAATGTTCAGAAAACTAAGTTAGGAAATGCTGCTAACAAGGCAGTTCTGAGGAAGTGGTAGTCACTTGGCTGAGCTTGGGATGACTCACAGGCAAGTCCTGAGTCCTTCCTGCCCCAGAACCTCGTTTGGGGAAGGTGGTGGAACCTTCTGGGTGTCCTGTATGTCGCCGCTCTGCATAGCGTATGAATGTAAACACAGGGAGTTAAAAGGTCAGTCATCTATCTTAAACAGTTTCTTTGCACAGCACAGATATGAGCTGTCTATCAAAATCCTATGCTTGTTACAGTGGAGAGCATAGACACTCTATAACCTCTGCTTGTGAGCAAGTCTAGATATTCAGCTTTGCCTCTTGTTAATGCTGCAGTCACTATGTCAATAAAAGCAGAGGAAAACACTCCCTTTCCTCCCTCACAGCTGTGCAGTTATTCCGTCTTCAGCTGTAACTTTATAATCAGAGCTTAAAATTTTAAAGGCCTGAAGAGTAAAATATAAGCAAAAGATTTTCTTGCTTTTTTAGGGAGTAACTGATGATGAGACAGATGCCCTCAGCATTTCTTCCCCCCCCTATTAAAAGATATACAAATGAATTATTTCTATCCAGACATGTGGGGTCTTTCTCAGCTTTGGCCATTAATTGCTGTAGAAGATTCTGCATCTGAAGCAAATTTTTTGTTACTTGTTCAATTTGTACTTACTGTCCACAGCATACCTGGTAAAATAATCCCCAGAAGTTTGTACAAGTTATTTATAAATAAGTTCCTATCAATCTTAGAACTCTTTTCTCAGGTGCAGTATGGTTTGCTGAAGGGTAGCATAAGGGTGGCATAATAAATATAATTGTTTAGTTGTCAGGCACCTAAGCCCTTGTGGTTTTATTTTGGATAACCCCATTGTATTCTAGGTGACAGATTTCAAACGCCTACTGTTTGAAGTACTTATTTTGTTTTAAGAAAAATTTTTAAGACATCAGAAGATGATGCAGTTTGCATTGATGAGGCAGGAAAGAATAGCCAATAGGAGTCTTAAGTATTCATTAGCAGCTATTTCTTACTCCAGAAAAAGAGATTACTTGCTGTGACCCAAGTTATTGTTATACTTGGTATTTTCTCTTTTGTGTGCCTGACCTTTTTGTCATCAATTTAACATGTTCTTCAATGACTGAATTTTGGATAATGGCTATTTTTAAAAATAAAACTAAGGAAATTCAGATTAACTTGTTTACAAGCAAATTTGTTAGGGCATGGACTGAATCTGCAGTATTCTGACATGAACCCAATCTGATCCATTGCTAAAGACAGACATTTATTAATATACCTGGGAAGAGGCAGGGTGAATGACTGGAGCTGGCTTCTGATATATGAAGTGAAATATGTGAAACTAATGAACTGCAATAATCAGGTCACACATAATGTAGCTGGTTCTCCCTCAGCATGGGTTTTATTATGGGCAGGGATATTTATTAAGATGAGTTTCTGCAGTTTTGTCTGAGTAACTCTACTAAGTTACAGTTAATGGATAATGACTGTAAAAACCCAACAGCTAGAAGTAATTAGAAAATGTCGTGGTATAGTCATTCTGCATTTCCTTTGCACTAGCTTTTACAGACGCGGGAGACCTGAGGCCAACTTTCCTAGAGAACGAGACCCAGTTGGTTCTCATCTTTGCTCTGAGTGATTTGTCAATGTCATCTAGAATATGTCAAAGCCAAGAATTGTACTTCAGTCTCCCTGATCATAGCAGTGTCTTAACCGTGAGGTCCTTTACCTACTCAGAGCAGGCTGCCTTAAGCACATAATGCACCTAGCAGCCATTTTTACATGCCAATTTTCCTGTCTTGGGATTAACTGAAGGCATGATACTTGTGTGGTGTTTGAGGAAGAGGTGCCAGTGCAGAGAACAGATCTGAAAATAACTCTCCTCTTAAGGAAAGCGGTGGTAGTTATACTTCTGTTTTTGTTAACCGATATGCTACTAGTTTGGGGGTGTATGACTGTCAGCTTCCAAGATGACTCTATATTTAGAGTCTAGATGTACAGACCTTGATCTTCCTCTCCATGTAGCAGTGTCTTGATATTACTTGCATTCTGTTCTTCTGAATGTTTAACATGATCTGCTCGCATGTAATTTTATACCTCTGGCTAGAATTGTGTGTGCTATAGAGGTAACAGACTTTTGAAATTAATTCAGTCTTGAGTATGTGAATTTATAACATATATTTAATAGGATAGATTGGAATTGGGAAGCAACAGTGGCCCTTGGATGTTGCAGTTCAGGTGGCAAATCATAAGGTCCTCTCACTGGACTAATCAGATGAATAAAAGATTTTGGGCTTATATGGGGAGAGTAGTATTGCTAAGAAGCTACAAGTGTTAAATGACCTTTATGAAGTAAATGTGTTCCCCCTTGATCATCTCCTGGCATAAATGCTCTAGAAGAGGAAAGTGATGGAATACTTTGACTACCTGCAGTTCCTCATGGGGATTCTTACAGAAAAGTGTTCAGACAGGTGAAATTTCACAATATCAAGAAAATTTTAAGTAGGAAAAATTGGAAATTTATGGAAGCTTATGATGTGTTGGCTTTCTGTCACTTTTCTAAAAAACTGAAGGCTGCAGAAGAATAGCCTTGTCTCTAGCTGGGGTGTAAAAGTGTGGAGTTTTAACTGTCAGATCCTAATTGTTACCTGGAGACAAACAGCAACGGAGCTTTAGCATACCTTGAAAATTTGGATCGGCGTGGGAGTCACAAGATACCACATCTTTCATGACAGTGTTCTGACAAGGCTCTGGACTTGGCTTGCTTAATTATGGCTTGTTACTTGCTATGATAAATATGTCCTCTCCTGCATTTGTGACCAACTCATATGGGCTTTACAATAGTGGTGTGTCAATGCTAAAATAAGATTCTTGCTGAGCATTTGGCTGTGGAGAGGTTGATAGTGAGTACAGTAGCTAACTTCTGCTGGATAATGGATTTTTACTTTTGGCTTTCAGATCTTGTGTGGGTGACTGTGTTGGCACAGAATGCCCAGTGTGCCACGTGCCAGCCTGGGTGCAAGATGCACAGATAAACCGGCAACTAGATAACATGATTCAGCTTTGCAGCAAACTGCGGCATCTACTGGGTGCGGACACCTCAGGTAAGAGCAAACCTGTGTTTCTGACAGCCATTGAATCCAGACCGCTCTGTTTTATTTCACTTCATGGGCTTTATAGAGGGTGAGCAGTGCAGCCCTGTTTAAGATTCTGAAAGGCTGTTCTGAATCATGTTTGGAAAATTTGATTTGAAGAGAACTGTCTGTATGGATTGCTTGTTCTTTGAAACTGTTTTACTAAGAAATCTGCATGAACGGGTTAGTCCATAATTCATTAGAATCTGTCTTCCAAAATTAGATGAAAGTGGGATATATTCCCAAGTCACGTGGCAGTTAGTTGCACAAACCAGGGGCACAAGATGTCATATCTTGTGCTCTTAGGGGAGCACAAATGTGTAATATTCTGCAGTGTACGCTTCTTCAGGGGGGGCGGCTGTTAAAGAATTATGCATATATTCCCTTGCCTCTTGTGTATTTGTGCACTGAGGTGTGCATGCTGTGCCAGTAACTTTCAGTTTAGGGTTTTTGCATGCAGAAAAATTTGTGTTCCTTGCCTGAAGGGGGAAGGAGGCAAGTCTTACCTCATTCATTTTTGGGTCCCTAACGGTCAGCTAGTTTGCTACAATGGAATTTTGTCACAGCTGGCTATGCTAGAAGACTGCAGAGATCATATTCTGGGAACTCATCTCTCTATCAAATTTTAGGCTGATTGTCAAAGTAGGAAAAAATGAAGTGAAATGAGTGTAGGTGAGTGTATGTCTCTTCTGCAAGCCCAGAGAGGAGCATTTTATGTAATACCAAGTTTTAGAAACCATTCATTTAGCTGTCAAATAAAGAAAAGGTAATTCTTCCTTCATTGTTGCTTCCTAATATGTTTGTCTAAATTAAAGATTCTTTTTCTAAGTCTAATCCCATTGGCATCTTCATGTTCATTTATGGGGTAGCTCTTTATTGACATCAAAATACATTGAAGTGAGGAAGCCTATGTCCCACTGCACAGGAATACATTTCATGTGGATACAAAATCCTATGGTGATTAAATCTTCTCAAACATAGAAAATTTAGATGATGATTTAAATAGCATTTCAGGGAAATGTTTTGAGTGGTGAAGGCTTTTAAAAACATAGTTGGAGGAGAATCTCTGAGAGGAGCTATTTGTGATGCTATAAAGCATTTAAAATACAGTATGATAGTATCAATACTGCTTGGATGTTTTGGAGAACTTTTACAGATAGATTAGCTTTTACAAATTGATCTGTTTCACTTGTACTAGAAGTTGAATAATACATTTAATCCCATAGTTCCCCTAAAATAAGGCTTGCATGGTTTGGCTAAACCACAGAACAGAGTGAGGTTCTTTTTATCGTTCCTTGTTCTAACTTAAAAGCAGATACAATTGAAGTTTACAAGACCATTTTATTTGGAGCTAAATTTATGAATCGATGTGGGAGATTACTTTCTATCACTTGTAGTCTTTGCCCTGTACTAAAGATTAATGGCCTCTTGGATGTTTCATACTGAGGTTAAGGAAGAAACCTCCTGAGCTGGTGATAGTTCACTGTCAGGAATGCTTTGGATACGTAAGTAGATAAGCACACTTCTAACAGCCAATTATGTGTTGTACTATGGCAAATCACAGAATGCGTGAGCTTTAAAGATTCTGAGAGCAAATTCTTTAGGATGTTTTGTCACTCATCTCTGGCAAATCTCTCATCTCCCAGAGTTGTATGTCCTGAACATAATGTATGCAAAGTGAAATGTGTTTTGAGTTTGGAGAATCAGGGCCTCCCTTGTTAAGGAGTTGCTTTCGTGTTCTTACGGCACTGTACTTCTGCCACGTTTCTGTCAACGATAGTTTCTTTTTTGTTAGAAGGTCAAAAATTGTATTTTATGTTCCAGTAAAGGAGACAGACTGAAAAAATCTTTCTATGAAGAAAAGGAAGAGAAGCAGTTGCAAAATTAATTGTTCTATATATTTGTTTTATGTGCCTTTTGCATATTTGCTTTATATGCCTTGTTTTGGGACACTTGTGGCTTGTCTCAAGGCTTCTATTTGAGATCCTTGTTGACACTGAAGTTTTTAATGCAAATGCATCACCCTACCCATTTTTTTAATCTACGACAGACCTAGCGAATGCAGTAAGTTGTGTATTGTCTTTAGAAACACACAGAACTACTGTGACTGAAAAGGATAGGGTTAAGCTTGTGTGTTGAATATTTCAAGTATAAAAATCCCTGTACCCCCAGGTTCCACAGTTGATACGTACTTTGTAGTCCACTGGGATAAGAATAGCTTTTTGCCAAACTGTGTGTGTTCTAAGAAGCAGCAGCAAGTAATTCAGGAAAGACTGCACAAAACAGCTAATACTTCCCTTTAATTTAAAAGGGAAGCACAGCAAATGACACCACAGAATAATACTTGGGTGACTAAGGGGAATTGGCAAACAATGAATCTGAAACTGGCTAGAAAATGCAAACTATAGGTAGCAAATGCTGAGTCTCAAAATTAATTCACTTTTTAGAGATGTTATATCCCTAGTTGGTGGCAAGGTGAGGGGAGCTGTCTGACCTTTTCACTGCCTAGTGTTGTACCTTTACAAGGGTAATGGGAAGCTCTCTGGCTGGCAGGCTTCATAGATGGGATGTCTGCACCTCCAAATCTTTAGCAAAGTCCAAGACATCTTGAGAACTGGAGTTGATGGGATGACTGGCTTCATAGGTGAGTAATTAGTGAGAACTTGTTGAATCATGGACATAGTATACTAGACATGAAGAAGGTTGATTTACAGTAATGATTTTGAAAGTGAATTTCTAAGTACTTCAGCAGATTTTTCTGTGTGATCCTCTTTAAAAAGAAGAAACTGTTGTAAATTTTCACAATGCAACCATTTATAGATGATTTTACCTTATTCTTTGTAACATAATCAGCTTTACTCTAACAGTCAAACAGAAAGCCTTCCTTCCCTGTTCTCGTACAGAGCTAGACCTTGCAGGTGTTGGTCAAAGCTTCTTAAGCTCATGTTGATGCTGGTGGACAGTGGGAGAGAGATTGCCTTTTGATTAGCCTTTATAGTATCATAATTTAGTGCCACATTTACTGATGTGGAGGGAAAGACGTTGAACTCCTGTTGTAACAGATTACCTTGCATTTCATGTGTACTCTGACATTTTTCATAATAGCTAAAGATGAGTTTTTGAATAGCTGGAATTTCTCTCTTTTTCCCCGTGTTGAATACTTAACTTGCAAAATAATCATGTTTCACTGAAGGCACTAATGTTGCACAGATGGTACCAAAGCACTTCCCTTTGATTTTTAATAAGGGACTAGTTTGTCAAAGAGATTTCTCAACTTCTGTTCTGAAACCCATAATAGAGAATAATTTGAAAGGCACACAATGTGCATCATTATATTCCTTTGATGCAGATTAATGATAGCTAAACCATGTTTTCTAATTGCTCCTTTTTTTCCTGCTGCAGCCTGCTATTGCACTACAGCAGAACTCTAGTTGCAAGGCACTGTGTAGCTCCTAATGTTTTTGTCTCAACCCTTTTAACACTTAAGAAATTCAACTCTTATTAGATGTCAGCATTAAGAAATCTGTGCTTATTATGGGCAAGTAAGTGTAATTTAGAAAGAATTCAGTTAATATATTGTGTATATGAATGTTATGTTTAATAGGTAATGGAGAATAAATCTACTGCATTTATTATAGGCTGATTCTAATACTGTTATTGTGGATAGTCTTTACACTATTGCAGGTGCTTAAAATCTAGAATTAGTAAGGCATGCTTTACTGATTTACCTTGTCTCAATGCATCTCAAAATTTTGTGAGGATAATTTTTATGTATTAAAGACAATTAAATCTTAATCATATATAGTGATTTTTTTCATCCCTGTTGAGACATGAGCTCTGGCTTCCAACTTGGAGACAGCAAAGAATTCCTTTGGATTGATTTTTCTATGAGCAGTTTTCTCTGAAGGTAGTTTAACTGAATGCACTTAGCTACCAGATAATACCATCTTTATATAAATTAGTATTTACATATTAAACCATAAGAACTTCCTTTCAGTTTCTTAGCACTGTGTCTCTTCTCTCTCCCTCTCACGCCTCTGGAGGATCAGAGGATTAGATTTTCAGGGAGGGTAGGTTGGCCATTTGTACTTATTACTTCTACTCCCTACCTTGTACACTCTGGAAATGGAGGAAACGGGCAGCAGAGTCTAAGAATAATGTTTCTTTGCAGATGCTACGCAGAACTGTTCGGGTAAAGTTGTTAGCTGCATAGTAATCTGAAAGGTGGAGTTATTGAAGAATGGCTGAGACAACATACACCCTGGGAGAAATTGCAGTTATTTACCCCAGTAAGCTTTGGAGAGAGACCCTGGGCGTGCGTGGCTGGCCTCTCAACGTGAGGGATCTCTTTCGCCGTATGTGTGGCCTTTTAATCGTGCTCCACAAGTGCCTTCCTATTCTAAAACATGCAACGTATTCTTTTACACTTGAAGTAGTTGCATGTGAGGAAAAATAACCCTGGGAAAGTATGTATTTGGTGTATTTTCAGCAGGCTTTTAATAACCTGACTAGTAAGTCCCTGCTGAGCAACCAGTAATGAACAGATCAGTTTAAGAACCCTTGTGGTTGATTTTTTTTTCCAAGCTTTCTTGCTGCCAGAAGTGGTATATACGTAGCTTCCAGTGTAAATACTTAATTGTGTTATGCTGCTTTAGATCCTGCTTCTGAAGGACAGTGCCTTTGATTGAATTTGTCACTTGGACTTTAAAGTCTTACAGTGCTATACACATCAAAAAGAATTCTGGCCATCACAAAACTGTTGCACAAATTACTTTTGCAAGCTGATTTTATTCTTGCTCTTTACTTGAGGATGACTGATAGTTCTAGCAAGGTAAATATTTTAGAAGGAAATCTGTTAGTTGTGTAAACAGTGAAGGCAAGACAAGTAAATAGTAACTGTGCTTTGTATTTTGCATCTGTTTGCAATCAAGATCTTCCTTTTTTAGATGTTATTGTCAGAGTGAAATTGTATGTGATATCTTTCTGAAGGCTAGCTAGTTATGAGATTTCAATCTCAATTTCAGGGCTTTTTCTCCTGTTTGCACCAAGCCCAGCCCTACAGGAAATCCAAATAGCTGGAGTTCTGTGTTTGATGATTATCTTTAGATACCTAAATGATTGATTAGCTAGCCTCAAGCTCTATTCTTAAAGACACATTTGGTCTGGTGCTTTACTTATTCCTTTAGTTAAATCTAATATCTAGCATATTTTAATTCAAGTGTTAAGTAGGGTAGTTTAAGATTGAGGAAACATTTAACCTTGAAATACTGCTTTAAAAGAAAACTGCTAGTGTCTATTTTGGTGTTGAATTACTAGTTCTGTTCTAAGTGAAATGTCAAACTTTTTTTTTGTGGCTAAGGGATTGGGACTAGTTTGTCTGCTGTCTTGAGTTTGTCACAGGTTGCTGTGGAAAACAACAGGCTGTAGTTACTAATACCGAAAGTAGAAGAGAAGGTGTGGAGAAGACAAATTAGCTCTAGAAAGTTAATGCAGCGAAGTGAAAGTAACACATTGTTGCAGTGAGTGTCTGTCTTTCACTTTTAATAATTGAGACTTGGTATAGTTTACTTCAAGAATGTTTAAAAAAACCCCCACACTGCTCTTGGTCTTAGTTCTGTTTAATAACAATAATAATAGTAATAACACTTGCCTCACTATGCAAAATTAATATTGTTCTTGTGATTGATTGCCATAAATCACTAGACTTTTGTGAATTGTAGTTTAGCCTCCGAGGTTGGAGGCAACAGAAAGAATGAGTTGTGTGTTTACTTTAGAGGACTTGTCCAAATAACCTAAAATAACTCAGATTTCCAAGAAGGAATCAGTAAAAAAAACCTGTTAATAGTTCTTTTGCACTGAAAGAGTTGTTAAATTAAATTAGTGTCTAACTTAGAGGTTACTTTATGCTCCTTAACTTATTCTTAGAGCCATTGAGGACACTATTTATAATCCTTGTTCTCAACTGTTATTTCATGCACTGGGAGTGCAGGATATTCCTCCATCATCTGGGTTATTGATTTGTGATATGCTGTATGATATGATTTATGCTTCATTGCATATTTTTAGAGAAATGCTTGAGATCATTGAAATGTGTAGCTTCCTTGGAATTATTTACTACCAAGGGGTAAAGGGTCAAATGACAGGACACAATTGCTTCCAGATATTCTGCATATTCCTCTGATTCATCTGCTATATCTGTGGAATCAGTTAAAATTTCCCAGGAATGTTCAACATTATAATAAGGATGTTATTTTTGCTTGCTTGCAGCTACTCTTCCTGTTTGTCTTCAGGTGAACTGTAATATCTTTTTAGAAAGCTGTTTCTGTGCTCTTTTGTATATGCACGGACTACTTTGTTAAACCTGTTTTGAAGGCAAACTCAGTGTCCTCTCTATAATCTGGTCAGAAATCTGTGCACATGCTGCACTGTGGACCCAGATGATTGAGGGAGATGATTTCTCTACCAGGGTGCTCACTTAGCTAGTGGATAGCTTTAGCTGCCATGGTGTCCCTGAACTCGAGAGGGGTGTGTGACCTTGCCAGTTTTTCTAAAGCCATTACATGTGTCCCTTCAGAAGAAATGAAGGCACTTATAGGTTGTATTTAGTAACACTTCATCAGTTTCTACAGTTGTTACTCTGATCTTTTTTCTTTGTGATTCTCTACTGAAGAGTACTCTATATATTATTTTTCCTTTTCCCTGATGCACTTAGAGTCAACAGAAGATAAGTCTGCACCAGCTGACTCAGACTTTGGACAAAAGAATAAGAAGGAACAGATTAAAATGTGGTTCAGCCCAAGAAGTAGGAAGATTCGATGCGTCCTGAACAAGAGTCAGCCCAAGACGAAAAGTGGTGACCTTTGTCAAGACACATCTTCAATTTATGATTTCTTTCCTTCCCCTCCTCATGAAAAGCCCTCCAAACCAGCAAAAAAGCCAACACAGAGGCAGAGTAAGAAGATGAAGAAGAAACGTCTAGCAGACATTAACAAAGCGTGGAGCTTAGACAATCCTGAGCAGAAAGGAGGAGTTGAGAAGACTCCAAAGGAAAAATGTGTGACCATCTGCAGTCAACCGGTAGTCCTGTGCACTGTGGAACCAAATAGCCCTGAAGAGACACTTCAGTAGGAGTCTGTAAAGGAAGCGGACTCCAGCAAAAATACAGAAAATGTAGAACTGTCACCACAGGTAAACTCATCAGAGAAGAAAGATTACAGTGAGGTTGCGTGCCCTGCACAAGTCAGCAAGGAAAAAAATTGCGCTACAGAGACATCCTTGTCAGTAGAAGAGGAAACTACACCTTTAAAACGTGGAAGGGAGCAATCCAGACTTCCAGTTACTTCTCAGTCTAAAAGACCAAGAACTGAGAGGAGCATTAGTGGCAAGTCAGGCAGGCAGGCAGATTGCTTAGAGGAGTTACCTCAGGGTTGCCCCATCTCCCCAGCGACTGAACACGAGACACCAGTTCGGATTTCTTCCTCTGTATCAAAACTCACTGACACTGTAATGAAGACCAGAAGCTCTGCAGTCTTTCAAGCAATAAATAGTCCTTCACTTTCAAAATCTCCCTCTACCCCAACTACTTCTAAGACTTGTAATCAAGCAGGAATACCACATAGTCCTGTGTTGAAGTCCCCTGGTGGTAATCCAATTGCCAGAAGAAATTACAAAGGAGAGACTTTGCTCCATGTTGCTTCCATCAAGGTAGGACCATCATCTTTTAGTTCAACTTTAAGCAGGGGTTTAAAAAGACAAGTTGTGTTAAAAATATCCTGGAAAGCTGTTACTTCAGTATGTCCTATTTCTGGGGGGAAATTAATCTTGTGGTCTTTTTCATCTAGATTTACTGGGGACTTTCCAACCTGATTCTCTGATTTCATAAAGAAATTACTATTGCAATGATTAAAGATGGTTATCCTTGCGAAACTCAGTGTACTATGGTGTCAGTTATACCTATGAGTTCTAGGAAGTGATAAGCATTCAAATGTTTTGGTCTTATGTGCCAGAAAGCTGTCCCTAATTTGTCATAAGGAGTTTAGTTAGGTATTTCAGATCTCACTGGCTGATCTTCATCAGTTTAACTTGACCTGGTAACTCAACCAGGACAAGATCTGAATTACCTACATAAAGATAATTCTATGCAACCTTAATTGAGGTGAACGACTTCGTAATTTTTGAGATCCTCCCTCTGATTTAAGTGTTGGCTCAAGAGGAAAGAAATGCCACACACTGGGATTCCCATGCTGAGCCCTATCCTCTGAGCATGCTGTCCTCACAGATAGTGGAGAAGGAAGAATTAGGAGAGAGTTGGGAAGTTCTCAGGAGACTTCACTTTGATGTAGGCTCAATGTTACTCTCAGAATGACAGCTGTCACTCATTTTGCTGTTATCTTAGCCAGTTCCTGCTGTGGTAGAACTTCATGGCTTTGCTCTTTGCAAGGGCTGACCTTCCCTATTACTATGTAAAATCTCCATGCAGCTGGGGTGAGTTGAATGCGTAGTCAGACTCATCAGATGCACTAACTCTCTTCTGAGAGGTCACTTCAAAGAGTTTGTAGTCTGGCAATTTAAATGTACTTTGTGCTAAATCGTAGTATAGAAATACTGTGTGTCTCATAAACTGCTTATATGGGTAGGACTGATTCACCTGTAAGCATCCTGACATTTATACAGCACTTCTGTTTGTTGAGACAAAGGCTGTTCATGATAAATAACTGTGTCCCCTTTCAAAGGCATTCTTATAAGCCACCTCCGCTTCACGAGATCGTTTTAAATGGAAGTGGCATCTGCGCTGAGTTGAGTTCAAATATCTTGATGCCATTAATATGGAATTAGGAGAAAATGAAATGTCATCACAGCATTCAAGAGCTTTGCAGGATAGATCTCTTGGTACCTCTCATTGTAAGTCTTGTATATTCCTCTTTTACTAAAGCACTGTTTACAAATTATCCTTCCATGATTTTCAGGGAATTTGTAAGGAAATACTAATGACTGGTTCTAAAAAAAAAAAAATAAGTATCTACCTTGACAAGTTTTCACACAATATGGTTTCCAGCAATATGTCTGATACTTATTGTGAGATTTGGAGTAAACAGTGATATGCCAATAATGTGGTTTCTCATTGCAAAGAATTTTGAAGATAAATGAGTAAAAATTAAATGATTGGTGCTATAGACAAAAAGAATAAACAAGTTGTGGCTCTCTGGGGTTTGTAGTGTGGCTGGCACTGCTTGTTGGCATTGGTACAGCCTTGCCCGAGAAAGGGATGGGGCTATTTCAGTGTGCTGAAAAGCTGACCTCTGGCTGTAGGGTGGGCAGTGGGGTGGGCAGACACATGAATGCTTTTTTCAGTCTTGTATGTGAATTCATTTTGGTGTCGTCCTTTTAATTTAATAATTATTGAGCTAAAATGGGAAATTGCTTCTGTTCCTCATTAGTTCTACTGTGGCTTTAATTCATCAATTGCATTTGCATTGAGGTGCTCTTTATAAAGGCTTGTTTAACTAGGTGGGGTTTCAGGGTGATCTCAAAGTTACCACTCTTTTAAAGGTAACTAAAATACGGTAAGGAGAGTAGTCTTTTGGTTATGGTCTTTGTTTACTTGCATGCATCTTTGTTGCCAGCTACTAAACTTCAGTGCAACTCTGAGAAGATTGTTTTACTGTCTCCGAACCTCACCTCCTCATCTGTAGAAGGAGGTTGTACAGATTATGTCCTTTCGTTTGTGGTGTTCTTTTTTCTTGTTACACAGCTTAATCATGGGTATATTATGACATTTGTAAGAAGATGCTGCATCTCCTGGTAGCCAGTAAATGTAGGCACAGTTACTATAGCCCATGTCAAAGTAGATTAAGACTAAGTTGCTCAAGCCAGCATGATGTGAGGACTTGGTTGGTCATGGGTTTTGGTAGCATTTTACTTTGAAGTAGTGAACAAGAAATAGTCATGATTAATTGCCATGAATTTGCTTGGGTTGTGTGGCAATTGCAAAGAAAACATGTTTTTGCATGCAAGTATCTTCCACCTAACTTGCATGTTTTTAGATCACTCTTCTAAGCTGTAAGAACTGATAAATGTGTTTTCTCAAAGAAGCTGGTCTTGAAAATACTAGGCTTTACACTATTTATACTGTATGTATAGTCTCATTGTGCTTTTTTCAAAATAGCTCTGTCACTTTTTCTGTTTCTCTTTCAGTTTTGTTTCATGGGTGATTTTTTTATGTTCTTTCCACAACCAGTAATGTTTTTCCATGTGTGCAATTGGAAAGAGACTTGTAGCTGCCACCCTCCCCTCAAAGTGAAATAATGTCTAATTCTGTGGGACTTCATTAATTATAAAAATCTGTATTTTCATTAACTGTTAGGGCCTAATACCCTGAATTTAATTAAAGCTAATTGAGTTCTCTGGTTTTTCTTATTTAAAAGAGATAATAAACAACACTTTCGGGCATTAAAATTAAGTGTATTGTGCTGTTTCAAATAATTCTGAGGGACTGTCCCTGTTTACTACTACTAGTTACTACTGAAATCAAAATGGTTCTCAAGAAAGATTCTAGTGTGGATGAACTTAGTGCTGAGTTAAAACTAAATAAATTAAAATAAATGTGGCGCTTCCCATAGCAAACAGCAGTCATGTTTATCTTCCTCCGTAGTTAAAGGTAAAAATTCCAATTAATTAAAATACAAAATGTGACCTATGGCACTCCTAATACTGGTGGGAAATTGCCCAATCAACAGCCCTGCCACACAGGAGTGTTTTTACAGTAAAGTAATGAGTTGTTCACACAATTAGCTCTTATGTGGCAATTAAGTGCGGCACAGTATTACTAACTAGTTGGTACAGAGTCTTGAATCTACTACAGAGAGAAGAAAATCATGGTTTCTTGGTATGTTATTTCAGGTCTTGGTTGTGCCTGTGTTTCTTCTGCATTGACAAGGGAGATGATGAGGTAGTTCAGTGAAGAATTGCTGCCACTGTGGGTTCCAGGAAGAGGATTAGCAAACTGCAGTGCAACAGAGTAAGAGGACTGTGCCAACAGCTGTACTGTTCCAAAGGAGTGGATGGGGGGTAGTTGGGAAAAGGTTTTGACTTTTTGTGCTTCAAGTCAAAAGCAAGTAGTTCCTCCTGTTAGGATTGCCTGTGCGGAGCATCTGCTTAGTCTGAAGAAAGAGAGAAGGAGCATTGGGACCAGTTTTGGTTACCTTCTGCTCCAGGCACCCTTTAGTTTTGACAGTTGATCAGGAGGACTGCCTTAAAGGCTTCACCTATAGCTAGCCTGCTCTGCTGGACTCTTCATATTCATTATACTTAACAGTGTAATAACAATTAATAATTCCTTTCAAGCCTGTGAGACTGTTCTTCCTTTTTATTTCTTTGTTACCAGTTAATGACACATTGGGAATAACAAAAGAAGATTTTTGTGGTTTTGTGAGCATGTGATGGCCAGCATCAGACTATCTTTTAGATCCTTTTTCAGGTGTCTCTGACCTAGTCAGCTGTGCAGTTCCTTGCTTTTGGTACCAGATGGGTATGTGTCATGGTTGAGTGTTGGGTCACACGTGTCTATGGGAGGAACATCTATTTTCCTGCCTTTCCTCTTGAGCCTTTAGGTACAAAAGGGGAATTGTGCTGCTGTGCACTTCCAGCCACCCTTGAGCAAAAGGCAGTGCATGGACAGCATCGTTCCTGCCAGCTGCTTCACCGTGAATGAATGCATCCGTTGGTCCAAGCTATTTTTGTCCAGACCTTGTGATTTTGTGTGGCAGGCGACTTAGCTCTGTGTATAATGCCCATTTCCATGGAGAAATGAGGTCTGCTGGCAGAAACTAGCAGGATGACTCAGATGCAGGTGTAGTACCTGAGACTTCTTTGAAGTTGGAGTTTGATGTTGACTTTCTAATGTTAAAGCCAAGAGGTACTGGAATGGTAAGCAGGCTTCTGATTATGGGTAGTATCCAGCAGGTAGCTTAAGACAAATATGAAGCGGTGGAATGTGTTCAAAGGGAGAATTTAAGAATATGAAAGTTGGCCATGAGTCAAAGCAATCCATCTTCCCAAGTGCTGGTTTGAAAGCTTAGAAACAAATTGCCATTTCTTTTTTGATAATGCTTGGTTGTTACTTCTCTTGTTCCTGAGGTGGGTTAAACTTCTTGTGTATTTTCTTCGTTAAAGGTTAAGCATAGCTACTTGTATTCTTGTTAGCTAATAAATGGTCTGCTGGGTAGACATGTAGAGAAATTTGAAGTGAGAAACTTGCTGGTTCCTGGAAAGAGTTGGTTGGAGTGTTCACAATTATTATAAGCACTCTGCAATTCATTTTTGCCCTCTTTGACCACTTAGAGTTGTAAATAGCCTTTTTCCTCCTCTCTGTCATAACTTAAGCAAATGTATTTGGATTTGAAAGGGGTGGGGTTTTCTTGTTCATTTGTTTGACTTTTTAAAGCTTTAAGTCACTTGGTTACCTTTGCAAATAAAGGGAGAAATGGTTGGTTGGTGTGGTACAGGTTTTTAGCTTCATCTTCATGTAGTGCCTTAACTCCTTGGGTCTGTCTTTTTTTTTTGAACTGGTAGAATACATTTCCATTAACTTAATTTAAATGTGGCTTGAGTGGAAAATAACTACAGTTAATGGAAATAGTAATGGGTAAAATGGGAAACCCCCCCAACACCTAGAAAATAGGGCTAAACACTTGCAGTTCTTAACCAACTGCCTGTATGAACATCATGACACAATTAGCTTGGGGAAAAAAAAACCACAAAGAAAAAGCCTTGCCTCAATCTAGTGAGGATGATTTTCTGGGTTTATGCCATCTGTATCTGCAGGAACTAAATTCTCATTGGGAGGGAAGTGTTTGTAAAGCTGTGTAAATACCTTTCTCTGTGTTAGCTAATGCTGTCTTCAAGATCTGCCAACAGATGGCCCCAATGCCTTTCTTGCTTCTATGGTTTTCAGAGCTCCCTTAAGCTGCAGCAGAGGAAGAGCAAACCCATTGTGTTATTGTGGTGTCACTATACATAAGCTTGGTTATGAGCTTAAAATGTCCTTTGCTTTGTTTCTTCCGAGAGGATAATTTTACATTCTGCGGTATTTTCTGCCTCTTCAGAAGCTGGTTGTAATCCTTTGTTGATAATGAGATTTAAAAATAAACACTTCCCTGTGAATTGTTAATGTTAGTGTTTTTCTACCTGGTGTTTGTCCTGTTCTCTACTTCTGAACAAGTAGTATCTCCAATTATGTTTCTACTCTGCTGTTGCTACTGGCTGGTAAGACAAGCTCTGTGAGGGCCCCTCCTAGTATCATCTGGTATGGTTAGGACTCTGTATTTGGGACTGGTGATTTTATGCTGGCATTGCTAGATCAAGTAAACTCAAGGGGCTAAATGTGCAAAGTCTATTTCAATACTAGTCAAAGCACAACTTCATGAAGCTTGTTTGAATTAGTAATCTCAAAGCAATAGGTGGGTAATAGGATGTAGTTTCTTCTTTCTTACTTGTTGGGGAAAGACATGTGATATCTATATATTTGTGGTTGGGGCTTGCCCCTACCAGGTGTTTAGCCTTTCTTGTTTAGAGTTGAGCAAAGCATTAACTTTTTAAATGTGTGAGTAATTCCATCAACTCTGATAGAACTGGTCAATATGTTAATTGCAGGAGGGACCTTAACATGTGTCTGCTAAGGATCTGCTTCTTGAAATGTCATCTTCCTCTCTTTTTCAAACTAAGTATTCACTATATAGTAACTGGCTGACGAGTGTCTGAGGGGACGAAAGGCATGTTCTTCTAGCTACAAAGAATTTTATTAACGTATCTCTTGTAGTCCCAGTTGACAGACCCATCCAGCCATTGCGCAGTACAACTGGCATGACAGCTTCCCCTCCCTTTCTGTCACACTCATTGCTAGGTGTCAGCTGCAGGGAGCAGGTTCCATTTACACCTGAGGTGATGACAATATTTTTTCTTCGTAAACAGCAAAACACCAATCTTCTAATTTTGACTTAGACCTGGATTTCATTTTCTGGATGTTGTCAGTACTGGTGTCCACATCAGCAACATTTCTTCTGGTAAAACTGCAGTAATGTTTTACAAATTGACGTTCACATAACTGTTCTGAAAAGCTGTGATACTACCTAATGCCCACACAAATTACTAGCTATGATTAGCTTTAAAGGAGTACTCTTGAAATGTCAAACCCTTGCTGTACATGTTTGCAAACTTAACTTTAAATGATAAGCTCGGATCTCACTCATTATAGATAATTGTATCTTCTCTCTGTAGAAAAAGATTTAATGCTGAGCACTGTCTTAGCTGCCTCCGAATAACTCCTCAGACTTGATGCATGCCTGTTACCTTGCAACCAGAAAGTATTCTAACAGCAGCATGTTCTTTAATTGCTTTGAAAGGTAACATTTTGGTGGGACACCTAGGTTGTGAATACAATACATTATATTTATCTCTGATGTATGTATTTGTCTGACTGCTGTAAAGCCCGTGATTCTTAGCATTTTTTGGTGAATTTTGAGTTTCCAATTGTTGCTTGCCAGATTTATTTCTGCTGAGCAGAGTGTGTCTTATTTTCTCTAATCAAAGAGTAAAGATTAAAGCTATTTTGTTTTTCCAGAGTGTTCCTTGATAACAAAAAAATGACATTAAGTTTATTTTTCTTGTACTTAAAGGTTAATTTTATAGTCTCTCACTTTTTCTAAGGTATGCTGTGGATTAACGGTTAGGAATTCCTTGACTTGCCACTACTTACGGGCATTGAACTTTCTGTATATCATGGATTAAACTTCTCTTCCCCCCTGCTCCAGGTCCTAGTATTTCTGTATTGCAAGTCTGGACAAGGGCAAGAGCTAGATACCAGTTTGTATATTAGTGTCTTCACTGGGCATCACAATACCCTGGTATAGGGAAGGTGCTAGTGGTTGTCTTGAACTGCTTGGTTGCATGGGGGATATCCTAAAAAAAAAAGGCATATTGCGATTGGTGGCAAGCCATACAGAAACTTGAGGCCTATTATGCTAGTTCAACCTTTGAAAAGTTTGCATTATATAGGTAGTTTTGGTCATTAGATGACACTTGGCCATCTCTTCCTTCCCCGTTAACCTGTCAGCTGAGAAATGGTGCGTAACTGTTCCTAATCTGTAATAGTGCAGGTGTTGCTGTGGCATGAGGGGTAGTACCTGATGGTGGGAGGCATGGGACAGCCTGGCCCCATTAGCTGTGTACCTGCAGCTGTGGAGGGTTCCTGGCACTGTAGCAAAATTTTTGGAACAGAATTCATGGCACTTCTTCTAGTAGGACAGACCTTTGCAATTGCTGCACTGTAGTAACAAATGCCAGAAGCAGGATCTGGCTGACATTGCACAAAGGGAGTTTTGAGTACCAACACACTGGGGTGTGGACGGTGCTGTGAAAGGAGTCAGTCTGTTTGCCTTCAGTCTCTTTGGGTTACTTTTCCCACCTGCTTTTAAGAATGCCTGCACTGCAGAGATTTCCTTGCCTCAGCTTCTGCAGGAGGCTTCTCCTCGCCTATTTATAGCTGCATCTGTATATGCTCCAAACTTATTACCAAATTCCTTTCTTAAACTTGCCTTTTAAGAGTATCAAAACCTGATTCACAAATTTTGCCCAGTTGCTTCCTTTGCTTTGTCTCTACTCAGCCTCTTTCTTCCCATAATCTCTGCCTCAGTTTCCTTGCTTATAGTAAAAACTGAATATAGTGTTTTTCCAAAAAGCAAATGAAAACTATTTTGGTAGAATAACTGTCAGAGAGATTTGACATGAGTAGTAATCACAGTGTTAGTAAAACTCTCTTTTCATTTTGACTTGTGGGAAAAGAATTTATAGAAGCTTGTCAGGCTTATTAATCTGTTTCACTCATGCATGTTTCTAGCCAGTTATTTAGTTTGAAAAAGATCCAGTCTGAAGGACAAGGAAATTCTGAATAAATGTTTCTGACTTTAATCCTTGCAGTTGACTCTCGTGGACAGATTGCAATCAGCACAAACTTGTCCATTTATTCTAAGTCTGTTATGTGCATCATATTTATCTAAAAGTATGTATTTGTGTAAAATGTGTAGGTGTTTCTAAATGAGCAGTAATGATAAACCATGGTCTCCAAACCAGTTGAGTTTTTGTTATCCTGACAATATCTAAATGGAAGACTTGCATCATTACTTTTTTATTGCAGATAAGTTTGTAATTCTGTGTCTCTTATTGTTGTTGTCTTTGTGTATCTTCTTCATTACTTGTTAAGAACTGTGGGTGTTTTTCCTATGTAGGGTGACGTAGCAGCTGTTGAACAGATGCTGAAAAATGGGGCAGATCCCAATGTTAAAGATAATGCTGGCTGGACACCACTGGTGAGTGTAGAAGACTTTTTTGTCATGTGTCTCTTGATCAGATTTCATTTCATCCCTGCTTTCCTCTCTTATATCTTAGTTCCCCTTACATGCATTTAGGTGACAAAGAATTAGGCAAAGTGAAGAAGTAATGATAAACAAGTTTAATTTATTAGCAACTACTGACTTGCCCAAATCCAGATCTCCTTTGCTGGGGTAAGGCGTGCAGAGAAGTCTGTCAGTCTGCGATTCTGCAAGTGCAGAAAGTGTAACTTTGATAACTAGAAAAGGATCAATTGCAGAAAACGTGTATATTTTATGGGTTCTTCATGTCCTCAGTGGTTTTTACCATTTTGGAAATATATCAAGTTGAATGAAAAAAATTTTCACTTGAATTATAGAAAATAAACAAAAGGTTCTTTTGAACTATGACTTCTTCCCCTCCTGAAGAATACTCTTGACAGTGTGTAATCTGGGGGGCTTTTCCCTGTAGACAATTTGCACACAATTGGCCTTTGTTCAGTTCTTCTCTGTGCTTTTTATTAGCGCTGGGTTCCAAGGTTAATTCATGTCAGGAATGTAATGCAGTATCCTTGCATTGTCTTCCCGACTGTCTAGAGGGGTGTTTGAAAATGAATGTGTTAACTGGCATGACAGAGGTCCTTCCTCTGCATTCCGTTTCACCTGAGTTTTTTTCTCTCTTTACTACTTATGGATTTACCCAACTAGCACGAGGCGTGTAATCATGGGCACAAAGAAGTGGTGGAGCTGTTGCTACAATACAAAGCGTTAGTGAATACTACGGGGTATCAGAATGACTCGCCGCTTCATGATGCTGCCAAGAATGGGCACGTGAGCATTGTTGAGCTGCTGCTCTTGCATGGTGCTTCTCGTGATGCAGTGTAAGTAGATGTGGGATGTAGTTTTAGCTGTGGAATCAGCTACAGCTACAACTTCCAGGGTGTATATTAAGTAAATATGAAGCAAAGCTAGTAATAAATGTGATTTATTTGAAGTGAGGGGGTGGGTGTTAAAATGTATGCTCTGCTGTACTTGCATCCCCCTTTTCCAGGTGGGTGTTTCCTTTCCATTTTGCTTTGTCCTAAGCTTTTCTGAAGACCTCCAAGTCATAGATAGCTGGAGTATTGGAGACTGTACTAGGAGAGTAACAAAATATGCTTACCCTATTCTTAAACTTCTCTGTTGGCATCTTGTTATAGCTACTGTCAGATCGAAGATGCTGAGCTCATGAGTTTTGAACTGCTACAGCTGTTTCTTGCCTCTTTACTTTTACTACACTATTTAACTAGCAGAAGGTGTTTTGGTCCAGTCTCTTCTACCTTCACAAATGGCATAGACTCAGGCTGAGATTTGGGGAGTGTGTTATATTTTTTCTATTATGGATCAAAGCACTAATGCTTGGTACACTTTAATTAAAAAAAAAAAAGCAGCTTAGAAATATTTTCATTTGAATCTTCTACACAGTTATGCCTCCTGAAGATTTTGGCATTTGTGTATAGGAGGTGCTAAAGAATCTGTTCGTCTATGAATAACCCCGCAGGCTATTAGTATTTCAGATGCTAAATGTGTGTTTTGGTGTTGTATTGCTGTTGTGCCAGGGCCTGTGTGTGTACAATTTGAGTTCAGTGCATGTTGTCAACAGGTGTATGTATATAGTAACATGATAGGATGAAGTGTTGCATGGCATGAATTTCCTTGCAGCTGCATAAAGAAGCATAAACAAGTTCAGTGTAATCACTTCAGCTCTCAATATTTGCACTCGAAGCTTACAGAATTAAGGCACTGTGTGGAAAAACATAGGGTTTTCAAAAACAGTCCTAATCTTGAATACACTGGAGTTTAAAATAAAACAAAAAACAAAACAAGCTGACAAAACTTTTTCATGAAAAAGTAAAACAAGGATCAATTGTTCATCTTCTCTTTGTTCTCGAACAGCAAAGACCAGTGCATTACACCTTGAAAAGCTGACAGCTTCAGAAACTAATTTTCAAGCCACTTGAATATTGGTTGCGTGACACTTATCACTTGTCTATCTGGTATTTGAAAGTGTAGCACGGCCAACAGCTTTGATGCAAGGTTTCGAAAGGACTTAAGCACTGGTAGATTTGCACAGCAGAGACTCCAAATGCCAACAGTGGAATTTTCAGGACTATTATTAACCTTAGTGTCTGCTGCGTCTGTTCACGCAAACTGAGATGAAGCTGAACCTCTTTCAGCTCATTCTACATGAGTAAACATGACTTTCTGTTGAAACAGAAGCTTTTTAATCATGGAGAAAGAGATTTATGTAAGCCTTAAACTCTGGCTGAGCTTTTCACTGAATACAGGTAATGTTCAGTTGTGTATTAAAACAATGTGACAAAGAGTATGTCACAACTTGACAATTAGCTACCTCTTGTAGTACCTCTAAGTATCAAAAATGGCTTCTAACCCACTTCTGAGTATGTTTGGTTCTTGACTTAATCTCCAGGGTACTTGGACTCTCCAGTGTGTGGTGTTAATAAATGTATATACATTTTTAGGGAGCAAATTTATCCGCTTTTAATCTTGTTTTATTTGTCTGGCAAAAGGAGCTGCAGGTGCTTTGGCAAAAATCCAGTTCCTTATGTCCCCCTTGGAAAAATGAGGCTTCCAAATCTTTGGTAGGCTCTCTGTCTCTGGCTGAAATGCTACTGTACATGTTACTATTGAAATGATGAGGGAAAGGTTTGGTGGTTTTTTTTCCCTATTTTTATATAGCATTAGAGACAGAGGAAGGAATGTACAAGCAAAGTGTTCAGGCTTGAATAGTAGACTTTACTGACCTCCTCCAAACACTACCAAGAAACAAGAACAGTGTGTCTGAGACTTCAAGAATGTCTTGTGCTTCCCTTCCTTCCTGTGTCCTGCTAACTTCCAGCAATGAATTGTGCCATGATCTTTCCCTGGACCATGACTTTGCAAATCCTACAGGTTTTTTCTGCCACTGCCTCTGGTAGTTGTAGTCCTAATTCAAGTGACTGCATTTGTCTAGGTAAGTGGATTTGAACCTTCTTTAATGTAGAAGGTTTAAATTTTTTTCTTGCGTATGCAAGTACCCTTGTAATGAAGTCACATCTGACAAGAAGCTTGCTTTTCTTCAGGGACTTTTTTCCCTAGATCCCTGCAACTTGCAGATAACAGGTTTTTTTACAACAGGACACGAGAATAGGACTATCGCTTAAGCCGATGCAATTATAGTTCTTTTCAGTATGACTAGTTATAATTGGCCTCTTTATACTTAATGCAGGATCTGCTCACCTTCACATTATTGCTCTAGAATCTGTAAAGCAGAAATTGAGCAGTGATGAGTAGAACTTGCATCTCTTCTCAAAGGTTTATTTTCTTTAGGAATATTCTTGGAGTGCCTTAACTTTAGAGGTATGCAGCGTGTGAGCTAAGACTATAGCAAAGCAATTTTGCTAAACTGATAAATTTGTCTAATTTTAGTTTGCCTTTTTTAATGTGTGTATGAAACTCTTCCTAGTCTTTTTGTGGGCTCTTCAGGCTCTCAGTGAACTAACTTTCAGCTCAGGAGAGGGACGCCTTTATCCTGGCATATTAAAGTGATTCTTCATTACCTCATGGGGGCAGGGTGGAAAGTTTGATTAGTTCACTGTGGTTTCTTAAAGTCTTTTCCTTTAACTGAGTAAATTGTGAACATGATAAATGTATTCAAGTGTTATGTGGGACACTGAAATGTATAGCATGAAACCCCACAAGTGACTGATGTCTTGCTGCTGTTTTGACCGTAGAATTAACTCAGTTTTGTGTCTTAATGTCCCTTGTGTGTTGGAGAGTTAATCTACTGGAATAAAAACAGAGCTTGTGTCGAATAGCCTGCTTAGAGCAGTATTTTTGAAATTTAGTATGATACTCAATTGTGCAGATGAAATTTTTTTTAAAAAATGTAGAATGTTTACTAACTGTAGATCTCAAGGCAGGTAAGATCTGCTGATCTGCAGAGGGATGGAAGATATATAGCTATCAGAAAGCTGAGACTCCGCAGTTTCAGTTTTAGATGGTGACGTTCACAGACAGATCAAGTATGTCTATTCCAAATGTCTTTCAGGCTAGTTTTTTTCTTGCATGCTAATACATATATACAGTAACTTCTTAATGTACTAGTATGAAGCAGCTACGTATCTCTTGGACCAAGCGAATACTGATGAGAACTACCTCTTTTGTCAGAAAGCAGTCCTGGGATTTCAGTATTCCTTGGCAATTTTTTTTCTTAAATGTGTAAGATTTAATAGTTGTGGTACTTCATTTGCTATTTGAAGTTTTCACTGACTGGGGAAGATATGAACTACAAATGAAAAATATTATATGGACCAATGGACCTATTAATTGTCCCGCTGGTCTAGTTAATTTTTTTACCTTAATCTCCTACACATAGCTAATTTATATTTTTATAGCTTTTTTCATGTGCTCACTCACTTGAATTCTGTCTTTTTTCCTTGCTTCACAGCAAGCCAAGTGATTTGAAAAATTAGATCTGTGCATTTGCAATTTCACAGTACTTCCTAAATGCTTTCACTCAAGTGGGCTATCTTGCCAGTTCTTCATGCACAATAAGTTTAGCATTAGTAAAAATTGTGTGTTGCCCTATTTTTTTTTTAGGTGTTAGCTGTCTTTGAGTAGTTCTGAGTCTGATTCTGAACAAACCTCAGGGAATGCTTAGGGATAGACTGTGATCTTCAATTATGAATAGTATAAGGGCAAAAACTATTATAACCTGCAAATAATTCCAGGAGGCATTGGACCCACGACGCTGACATAATTTTGTCTGCTTTTCCGAAGTCAAGGTAGTGCTGGACTTCACTGTCTAAGTGCAAGACAGTATGCTTAACTTCCTGCTGATAGCAGGTTAATTAAAACCCTGGCCCTGTTTGGATATCCAAGATGGTCTTTCTGGCTACACAGATTAAATTTTCTTCCTTCTGGGGGGGTTCAGAAAATATTTCTGCTTACCACATTCTCAAAATGCAGGTGCTGACTGGAGAGCCCCAAACTGGCCAGATTTCCACATGGGACTTAGTGGTTACAGTACTGCATTAGGACCTGGTTACTGGACTTCCATTCAATACTGAACTCTTGTGGGGCTGGAGTAAAGCTTGGTTTATGCTGAGCTGTGGAACAGCAAATAAATTCTGGTGTCAAAATGGAGCAACTTAAAACCCCTGATTATAAAGTATTATATAGTCATTGTTTGCTTATATCAGAAGCTGTGTAAGTTTGGGGCTTCTAAAGAATTGACAAGGGTGTCTCCCTATTTATCTTCTCTTCTCTGGTGACTTATTTCCTGAAAGTTCACTGAAATGTTTAGAAGGTAGCTGTTAAGTTTCTTTTTGACTACAGCAGTAACCTCTGTTGTCTTCATACCTAAGACTTCAGCAATGTTGCACCATAAACTGAATTCCATTTCTGAAGCTTTTCATAAGAAGTTCTTTGATCCTTAAGTCCTTAAGATATCATCTGTCATCTCATGTGAAGTCATACTCAGCAGATTACATTGAGTTGCTCTCCATTGGGCTCGTCTTTGTTCTCGACACAGACATCGTTCTTTTTGATTGGAATTTGTTCTAGCTGTAAGAGCTCTCTACTGACTAGTCATCAAATGACTGACTAATAGGAGACTTTGCATCGAAGGATACATCTGACTCTTGAATGTTTAAATCGGCTTGCACTCTGGTAGAAAGAAGTATGCATTAGAGACTGTGTTCTAGCTTAAGCACCAGAGACACTTACTTCTGTCTTGTGTCTGGCTTCCCTCTGAGTGTGGAACCCATCCTGTTAAGCAGTCGTGCACTGGACCCATTCTCAGTAAATACAGACCTATAGTAGGAGCATGCAAACATAGTTATTGACATTTCTGAAAATGCTGTGTTTGTGTGTTAGGGTGGACCTTATGTGGGTGTCCCACTTAATTTTGATCCAGTTCGCAAAACGCAATTCATTTTTCACTCTGAACAAAGTAGGTGATTTCTCTTGTTCAGCTTGGCTCAATAAAGGCAGACTTGAGCACACATTTTTGCCAAAAGCTTCTGTTTTCCATTCCCGTACCTTACTGGTGTTCTTGTGGCTGCATAGATCTGGTCCTTGATCCTGATAGATCTGGTCCTTGATCCTGATCATAGGGTTAAAAATAATATACATTCCTAATATATTAACAAACAGTTCCTCAAGTAACTGCACTGATAATTGTACCAGCCCAGCAGAGACTGACTGGGCAAGGCTTCTTTCTGATCATGATTATTTGCTTTTTGGATGGTTAGCAGGTGCCTAACTAAAAAGAACAAATCTGGTTTTCACCCTTTTTCTTTGAAAAGGATGTGTAAATTAAAACAGTACTCCAAATCTGTTGTCTGGATGTGTTCCTTGTCTTAGCTTTTATTTCATAAACCCTCTTTTCTCCTGTTTCAGCTACTCTTTCCTCGCTTTCCTTAAGCTCAATGAGCTGCTTTGTTGCAAATATTCAAAACTCTTAAACCCGTCGCTTGGGCTGATGTTCCTTTTTTCAGACTTGAGCTCCCAAGTTTGTCACATTTTGCTTCAGCCATGCCATTTTAACATCCTATGAATAGTCATTAATTCTTCAATGCTGCATAATGATGGGATAGCATTTTGCAATACATTGGTAAGAAGCAATTGAAATGATGGAGAAATGGAGAAAAACAATTTTAAGTGAATACAGAGGGGGTAGCTGGAGCTTTTATTTGTGCAGTTTAATTGGCAAAAAATGCCCTATATTTAACTGTGGTGGCCTTTATATTTTATGGTAAACCTTCATGAGGCTTTTTCCAACAGTCAAGGATCTTACTGTGACTTGGTGGGGGGAGACACTCCCAAACCTCTGCTAGTGACATGCAATGATTTCCTCCCCATGCTTAGTTCACAGTAAAAGGTCAACCATCTAGTCTAAAGGTGATTTTAGTGTATGTGCTAATATATATATATATTTCACCCCCACTTTCTCCCTTGGATGCATTGTTCAAAGGAACTGTCCTGCAGCAGTTTGAGTCAAATATGGCCCTTATTTAAAGAAAGGGCAAGAGCTACCCTGATGATGCATGACAAAGCAGGAACAGCATGACAATATTTAATGGGCTGCAACTCCCAGGCCCGGGCTGAGATTTAACCAATTATCTTTTAGTCTGCAGAATTTGTATTACGTTAGTTCTTTGCTCATTAGTAACACAGAAGAGCTTGGGGTTGGTAATATTGTAAAATTAGCAACTGTAAAATGCCATCCCGGAATCTTCTGTGTGGGATTTTTGTGCATTGTTGTTTTCCTAAGAGGCTACATTAGCGAGCTGTGCTCAGTCAGGAGCATAGAAAGGTGCAAAGGTCAGATGCATCTTCAGCTTTGTGCTGGCCAAAGCCCCCCAGTTAAGTCGGAGCGGAGACTTAATGATTTGAGCTTCTCTTTGGGCTGGATTGGGTTATGGCCTTATGTGGAATTCCCTATAAAGCTTCCTAGATCCCTACTCTGCACAGGAACGTGTGGCTAACTAAGACGGCGCTTCAAAGGTGCGGTTGTTTTTTGACCTCTTTAAATGTTTCATTCTTTGATGACTAAGCTTGCCGGATTTCAGATACTGAGTCAGGGCTTTGTTCTTGGTGACAAGCTTCCCCTTCATAACGAGCTCTTATTATGCCTTTTGAGAGAGCCAGAGCTATGTGAGGTGGGGAGAAGAGGATCAGCTGGAATGGCCATTATTCTTGCAAAGGGCAAAGCAAGCAGAATATTTCCCAGGAGTGCTGGCAGAGGATTGTGTTTGTTAATGGCAATTATACTGGTTCTTTGCTTTCAAGCTTTCCTCTGCTCGCTGTCCTGCAGCTGCAAAGTTGTGTGAAGAAGAGAGAGAAGCCATGGCTGTGCTTGATACTGTGTTTATAGCAAATCATATCTGTCTGAGTAATGCTAAAAAAATGGGGGAGGAAATGGGTCTTGAGCATAATAAATAACTATGAGGTGCCATACAGGATGAATAGTGTTCAACAAAATTGTCAAACCAACTAGCATTTGAATGAATCGGCTATAACGTGTTATGTGGAACAGCATACTGAGGGAAAATGAGATGCATAGTCAAATTTTGGAAGTGTGAGGGAGTCACAGTTCCCAAGTAGGTAGCAGATAGCTTTTCCCATAAAAGCATAACCACATCAAGCCCCAGTGTTTAACACAGTATATAGAACCTTCTGACGTCTTTTATGGCAAATGGGTAAGCCAAAAATACATTTCTTGGTTATATGACTGCAACAAAAGATTAAAGCTGAGATTTCTGGGTCTTGTGAATAATATCAAAGTGCATCTTGAAACAGTGTAACAAGGATTCTGGTTTATAGTTAAATAAACATACTGCTCTGAACATCCCTTACTCTGCAGCTGAATGTGGCAGCTTGCAATTCAGTATCCATCTGTCTTGGATGCCATTCTTGAAGCTTTGTGCTTTTTAGCTGAAATTACATATTAATAAGAAAGTGGGAGGGAAAGCTACCCAGCTAATGTGCCCAGTTAGTTAAGAATCAAGTCACATTTTATTTACTTAAACCCATCTGTGCTTGTTTTGCCAGTAATATATTTGGTCTGCGGCCTGTGGACTATGCGGAAAGTGAAAAGATGAAGTCTGTGCTAATGTTACCAGTGAAGAATGAATCATTTTCACTTAACCAACCCTCTCAGGTAAGTGTGTGTATGTTTGTTTTGGTTTGCTTTTTAAAAAACCTGTAAAGTTCATCTGGTATGTATTGAAAGCTTGGACCTAAGTATAGTGCAACACCTACCTTTACAGGGAGATTTAAAATGGGTTGGGAAGCTAACATTTCTAGAATGTATGTGGGACACTTAGAAGCTATGGTATTCTGTATTATCATAGCTTTATCTGGGAAAACAAAGAATGTTTCTTATAATGTGGCTTTATTATAGGAGAGCCAACACTGTTATTCTGCCAATGAGGCAGATATCCTGCTGGGAGTCTGTTACAGACCACCCAACCAGGATGAAGAGACAGATGAGGCATTCTATAAGCGACTGGCGGAGGTCTCGCATTCGCTGGCCCTTGTTCTTGTGGGGGACTTCAACCTACCGGACATCTGCTGGAAGTATAACACGGCAGAGAGGAAACAGTCTGGGAGGTTCCTGGAGTAACTTCGCTATTGTTGTTGGTTTTCTGCATATTTAAGTTTGTTCTACTTGTCAAACTGGCTGCAAGCAGCAGCAGTCTTTGCTCCAGGTGCTTTTGTGTGCCTTTAAAAGGCTGTTCCAGTATCATCCTTTGTCCAATGATGAAGATATCAGCTCAGCAGTTGAAAACAGTTTTTGGAAGATTGTTTTGGGGTTTTTGGTTTTGCCCTCTCTTTTCCAAAGACTTCTCAGGACTCGTGGTCAAAATCAGGTTATTCAGACTTAACAAGTTACTGCATTGTGAAATGCTTTGTGCCTCCTGATAAGTGCTGATTAAACTGACCTGGCTGATACAAGCAGCCCTAGTCTACTCCAGGGTATACAACCTGTTATGGTCCCTCCTCACTGAGGTAATAAGATACCAGTTGGCCAGAAGTAAACTGTTGGACCTAAATTGCCAAGGCTATGACTGTTCCTCCCACCTGTAGCAAATGTAAGATGCAGCTCTTCTGTTGCAAACAAAGCACTTAGTATTTGCATTTGCTTTGGGATAAGTGTGTGCCAAGGGATGGTATCAGCTCATACGGATGACTTGATCCAAAGCCTGAGGCTTTAGGGTAACTGGATCTCAAAGTTATGTCGGTACTATGGAATCTGGGAGTACTTACAAAGACCCAGGAGCTGAAGTTTTATCCTTGTCAGCATAAAACTTGAGCACGCAGCTCCTCTTACTTTGCATTAGTAATATCTGCATTAAAAAAATAAGCATTCATTACTTACAGGGCAATGTAGTAGGGACTTCTTAGTAAAAAGAAATGCAGGTTTTAATTATATAGGCTACTCAACGTGTTGGTAGTGTTTCTGTTGGTAACACTTCACTAAAAGTAGGAGGCTTTACTACTTAATTGGGAATTTTTTTCTCCTTCAACACTGCAGTCAGCAAGGCTGTTTACACAATGTTCAACGAGCTATATGTGTGCACAGTAGTGCCTTTAAAAAAAAAAGCAAGGAAGAAAAAACTGATGCATAAGCTGTTTTGGTACCTTGCAGAAGCTAAATGAAGTACCTCTAATGTCAAGCTTTTTTTCTCTAGAGCTGGTTTGTTATGCAGATTTATTATGGACCCTGTCCACTAAGCTTGCCATGAGTTGTTTCAAAATGCTTATTCTTATTAAATAAAGCTGTCAAGCAAGTTAGCTGCTTTTGTTATGTTCCCAAACATTCAGCTTATTGTAGGATTTTCTGTTCGTGCAGGCACTGAGCCCCAGCCAGCCGAGAGATGGACCTCTTGGTATACTGGGGAGCAACCTTAGTTCGGAGCAACAGAAATTGCTGAACAAACTAGCAACAGTTCTGAAGGCTTGCAGGTGTACTGAATTTAACAGCAGAGGTATGTAGTCTTTTTGAAATGTCCCTGTCCAAATAGAGGTAACTACAGATCTGCACTTTATCCTTTAAGATACTAGCAACAGCAGGTTTTTTTTATTATTCCTAATAAGTGCAGTTTCTGAAATCCCTGAATTATTGCTGTAGTAGAGTGATGGTGTGTTGTTGCATGTAAATGCGTATAAAGCCTGCTTAGTTACTGAGGCAGGAGACTTCTAGGGGAGCCACAGTTTGACAGTATATGGTCTGTTATTTAAAATCCCCAAGTCCTCTTCAAAGACTCTTCTCTTTACACTTTTTTTAACCAACTTTAAGGTCTCTGCTTATATGTGACATCCTGTAAGGTTTTTATCTTCCAAAAGTGTCTTAGGCAGATGGTGCCTTTAGAAAGAGCATGACATTGATGAAAAGTTGACCAATGTCTTCTCACATGCTACATTCTTTCAAATTTTGTTCTTCATTAAGGTGATGGAGCCAAGTTATGAGGCTTGGGGGTTTTTTCCTCCCTTTTAAGGAGGGGAACATTCTCTTAATCCCTCCTATTAGTTTTTCTTTGGAGTGCTGCTTTCCCTGCTTGTGAAAGAAATGCAAAGGTAATTTTCCCCAACCATCTTTTCACACCCTGATTACTACTCCTGAATTGTGAGTTGAGTTCTGTTAGCTTTGTGTTAAAGCAGTGAGATCCCATAGTAAGATTCCTGTTAGAGTTGAAGAAAACTTTAAAAGGATTGGAAAAAAAATATTATCCTATAAGCTGAAGTGTCCTCTGAAGACTTAAGTGTTAGCTTAGAACTATAAAAATATGACTTCCCTTTGTCACAGCAAGTATATGTTGAAATGCACAAAACTTCTAATAGCGCTTCTACTTACTTGTGTCTTAGTCTCAAAAATCACATACTTGTGCTGGTTGATAAATTATTATACTCTGTTTATTCTTTAAATGGTGATGGACTGCTTTTCAGCCAGGCATGGTTCTGATTTTTATGTGCTTTTAATTCTACTGACGTAATTTTTCTCCTAGTAACTCATCTTGTTATTCCCGATGCTCCAATGCCAAGTACTGTCAAATGTATGATGGCTGTTCTGACTGGATGTTGGGTCCTCAAGTTTGAATGTAAGTATTAAATACATGTGAGTCTTTGGGCTTTTAATCCAGAAATTGTAGATGGGATTCCAGAGAAAATGTTCTTTTTCAACAACTGCCCTGATATCAATACTAGCTTAACACAAAGTGTGAGGGTTTTGTTTTTTAATCTCCTGAATGACAAGAGATTAAATTAAATACAACTACTCCTTCCTTGGCAAATTTGTGTGTTTCATTATTAGATGTATTGGGTAGGTCATGCTCTAAGTATCAGTGGGGAGTGAATTTGGTCATTGCTACATTAAGGGTGATTTGGAAGATTATGGAAAATATCCTGGGAGAGGAGGAAGGAGTTTGTTTAATTCTTGGATTCCATTGAGATTGATAGAAAACTTTTGCTTGGTGTATGTGATCAAGGCCTGTAGGAAGGTAAGGTGTTGCATATTTACATGTAAGCTGAGATCTGTTGAAAGCTATAACTTCTAACAAAAGTTAGGCTGTCAGCTGATCATGACCCCTGGTTGTACTTTCCACTACAGTTCTCTTATTTGTTGAGAAAATTGTCAGGCCTTGTGCAATCACAGGCTCAGGCAGATCAAGTATATATGTAACTCTTGATACCCATTCCTGTACACATGAGCCCTGCTGACTGGAGTGCTCTTCAACTAAAAGCACAACCTCCAAGGAAAGATGAGTTGTATAGTGTCCCCTTAGCCTGCACGTAGTTTTGATGTCAACTTTCATGCAATCTATATTTAGTTTTTATACAGTGCATGCTTTTTTGTACAGCTGTTCTACAGACTTACACCCCAAATTCTGCTTTTCATTCCTTCTTTCAAATGTATTTCTTAGTGTCTGCTTTCATGCTAGTTGTAAAAGCCATCTTCTTCCCCTTGACCTTTATGGCTAAATCCTTTTAGCTCATAAGTACACTACAAATGAGTTAATTATCCATGGAAAACTCATAGACAAATTTCATTCTAGTTTTCTACTGTGTGACTAAACATCAGAATATAAGGATTCTTTAATGATCTAAATTTTCCAGTCACTAATGTTATGAAGGCACTGCTTAAAGCTTAAAAAGATGCATAGTAGTTTTTTCAAATAGGGCACATCATCAGACTCTTTGAACATTGGACTCTTTTTCAGAGTGTTCATTTAGTTTCCAGATAAGCATGGAACAAGGCCACTGGCTTTTTTAAAGGCTCTGAGTTAATGTCCCAACACCTGCAGGGGCTTCTGTTTGGCCTTAAGTATTTGCAAAAGGAAGGCACTCTGGTGTCTTTGTACTGTGATCCTTACAAAAAGGAGTAGCTCTTGTTGAATATGTAACATGGAGAAATACTGTTTATGCTTATGCAAACAGATGGATTTAATAACCTCCAGACACGTTGTTGGTAAGCAGAAGGGAGATGGTTTCCTGTTTCAAGGTAGGGATGCAGCAGGAAACTCAGAAGGCCTAGAAGCAATGTTTGGGTTGTATAATTGCAGGTGCACTGGAATGATACCCTGTTTAAGACTGAAATAATCTGTTTCTGTAGTGAATCACTTTATGGGTTCTTGGCTTCACCCTGTTCAGGAGGTCTGCATGCCTTCTATTATATGTGCTAGGGTGATTTTCCTTTATTTCAGTTTATCTTCTTGCTAGTCAGATGGTTTGAAAGCTTCAGCTGACTGGTAGGGAGATAAAATTAGCGGGACCCGAGTTTAAATCTTTGTGGAAGAACTTTTATATTTAGAAATGATTGGAAAAGAAAAAAATAAAATAGTGTTGGGGTTATTTGGGGAATATTTTTTCATATTTTTTGTTTGCAGATGAGTTGTGTTGTTAGTACTGATTAGTACAATCCTGACTGCTAATGCTCCCAGCTTAGTAAGCAACGTACTACTTAAAAGCGAGTGATTCTCCTCCCTAGTGGGAAATGTTGGTAATAACTCATGGGGTCTGATGTAGCTAAGTGCCTATAATTAACAGCACCACTCCATCTGTTCCCACCAGTCTGTTATTAGTCTTCTTCAGAGTCATTACAAGTTAAAGATTGTTATAACAAATAATGGGACTCCTGCTGATGGAACATTTGTCTAGGAAAAAAGAGGTCTTTGCTTTTCTTTTCTATAATTTCTCTCTTTATTGTGGCTTTTTGACTTCTATTTGGACAAGTTTCCTTAAATGTGATGCAAATAAACTTCCAAAAGTGTATGTGTGTATTTGGGCTTGCTTCTGTCAAAGCCACTGCAAATAAATTGAAGGAGTTGCTTGTAGTTCAGTGTTGTAAAGCATTCACTTAAAGTAAATTCATGTTCAAAAACTTCACTGAAATATTTGAAAAAACAAAGCTAAATGTAGCATTTAATGAAATGCTGACTATGCATAAATGAGTATTTGAACTTTTTTTGCCACAAGGTAAGCTGCATTTGACTGTTATTTCTAAAGTTATATTTATAGCCTACACATAATTATACCACTTTTAAAAAAAATCACATGCTTGCAGAAAAACACTATTTAATTTAAGAGTGTGTTTCTCATATTAACTTTTCTGTTATAGCAGGCTTTCAAGCTGTGTTTTGCTAATAAAAAGCAATTTCTTTCTCTGTATAACTCTATAATGCTTCTGTTTACATGTGTCTACACACAGATGTAGCATCCATTAGTATCAACAGATAGGTAATGTGGAATTTTCCAGCAGCTTGAGCTAAATGTAAGACCTTTAAGTATTAGAGAGCCAAGATTTAAATATACAGCTTCAGTTTTGGGGCTTCTTTTTGTCTTCAGGTGGAAGATGAAGATGAAAGGATGTCACCACTGAGCAATATTAGGTTTTCACAGAAGAAAAACTTCACTTTACCAGTTGTAGTTCTGTATTTTCCATAGATAATACACTGTCAGCAATATATCCACTTTCAAAGCAGCATAGAATTCAACTGAGACACTGCCACTGTGCTCCTTGCCCTTGGCCATATCTTTCACTGGTTTCATTATTTTATTGCCTTCATTATTTCTGGGACGGTAATAGGGCACAAAGTAGCATATCGTTATTCTTCTGCAAGTAGGCTGAGACAAAGATTCAAGTATCACTGTATTTCCTCTATGCTTTTTGTAGAGCACAGAATAGTGTAATTAAGCTGAAAAGCTATTAAAGGCTTCTGCTGGTTTTGTGTTTTCTTAAACTGATTGTAATCTGTTAAAGCAGGGAATGAAAAATGATCTCTGTAAGGATACGCATTGAAACAAGCTTGTGTCAGTCTTTGCAGCGAAGTATCTGGTGGAATTCTAAGCATCTCATTGCTTATTCCTTCGTCTGTTTTGCTTACCTGGAGCAGCAGCAATGATTCAACTCTGATTGTTTAAAAGAATGCAAAAAAAATTCCCCTTGCTTTTCCTCTAAGGACTCAAAACAAGTGGGAGTTGACTGGAAGAGCTAGGGGATTGCATGACTGGCATTTCAAGGCAAAAACATCTTTCTGAGTTTCTTAGAGCAGTATGTCCATCCTTGTTTAGGCTATTAGACAAGAGAAGTGCAAAGCTGAGCTGGCTGCTGCTCAGGCTGGACTGTCTGTCTTCCGTGCATAAACATCTGTTAGATAACAAGCTGATACTCAGCAAAGCCCTCCCTGCTTAAAACAGCTCAAAACTTTTGATCACTGGAGTTTCACACTTGTTTTGCAGTTGGAGACTTACTTCAGCTGCCGCCTCCTACAAAAGGACTCGCAGCTCTGTGGGAGGTGGTAGAAACACCTAAGGCGTGTACGTGTGTTCTTGTTGGATATACAGCAGAGGGGAATGTTTCGTATCGACGAGGTCTAAACTTCTGCTCTCCCACAGTGTCTGCACCTTCTGGAAAGGAGTGAAACAGTTTAGCTTCCAAGTTGGCACAAGTTTAGACTGAAGCTGCTGGGGTTTGCAGCGGAGGAAAAGGGCATGGGATGTCTTAAATGTGGTGTTTGGCTTTGCAGAGCTGGGAAGTGGGCTGCTTTGAAACAAGGTCGAGAGGAAAAGGAAACATGTTTCCAGTGCTGCTTCTGTTCTGTGTCATCCAGATGTTGAGTTTTTCATATTTAGAGAGTCCTTTTGTTCTAACTAACTTTTGGTGTGAAGTACAGTAAGGGAGCCCATTGTAGCGCACATGA